TCAATACAACAAGATGGATCCTGCTTCCTTTAATTCCAATCCAAGTTTTGGAATGACGCTTGAAGAGAAGCAAAGTTATAGAAAGTTTCAAGACAATTCTGCACGACAACGACAAGAATCACATGTATCCAATCCTAGCTTCGACATGCACAATACAACGCCAAGATCAGTCCCGACAACGACAAGACCTCAAATCCCCATTAATCGCAAGCGTTTTCCAGTAGAACGGTCTTCCCACTACGAACTGTATGCGGCGGCTTCTGATGATGAATATTTGGGTGGAAGGGGTCCCAGCATTCCTCCAACACCAGCTCCTACAAATGAATCTGATGATTCAACCCACATATCGTCATCATCCCAACTACCGACCTTTCCTCTGTCTTCTGGATTTAAGAATAATTCGCAAGGGGAAGCATCCGTGACGTCCAGTAGTTACTCATGCAAGAAGCGGCCTTTGCACGTGAGAGAAAACCCCTTTTCAGATGAGAACGACAACGAGACCTACGCGGAATCCCAGCCGCCATCGTTGTTGAACTACGTCAACTTTGTTTGCTTTATGGCTAGTGCTACCGTTGCATATTTACAAGGACCCAAAGTGGAAGAAGTCATGGAGTCCCATGCTACCCTGTTGACACCCGCCTACTTTGTGTCGGCCATTTCTGGCATTTTGTACATATCCACGGGGATTTGGGCCATTGCGCAAATATTTGGTACGACCAAACATCATGAATTGGTTGTCGATGTGGTCAGCTGGTGGTACTTGACTATTACGCCACTGCAAATTGCATGGTACTATCTCTTTTCTTTTCAGCTGTTTGCCTTTGCGCTGGGCGTCGTGTTGGTGCAGCTTGGCATTCTTTTATTTGGATTGCAACCGCGAATATCACAGATAAAATCCAACAGTCCACCCGAATATCTAACGCTCAAGCTACCCTTTGATTTGTACATTGCCTGGACGATTGCCTCGAGTGCTATACAAATCAATGTCGCAGCATATGCCTGGAAATTGACGACCTTTTATCAAATCGTTGTGGCTGGGATTTCCTTGTTTGGCGTTTTTGCCTTGGCTATTTGGTTCATCCTGAATACGAGTGGTCAATGGGCGATTCCAAGTGTATTGGCATGGACTTGCTTAGGAATTTCTGTCGAACTGGAGCGACCAGGCCATTTGGTGTCCATGGTGGAACGCTACTCTTCCACAACCATCACTAGTTTCCGACTTGCGTCGTCGGCCGTGGCCGCATCCTTAGTCCTTGCTACAGTGCTTCAAATTGCCATGTTTCGGCAAGAAAAACAAGAAATTGAAAGTTTCAAAAGGGCTTTTGAAGAGACACGATCGACGGGAACAGTTACTACGGCCCCACCCACACCTGCAGTGGCCATTTACAAAATGACGGGGGGTCTTGTGGCAGTGGTGGCAATGGCATTCCTGTTGGCACCAAACCATCCTCGAGTTACTACTGTAGCCATGATTGGAAACTCCATGATGTACTACAACGATCTGCCGAAAGTGTTGGAAGCGATGAGTGAAAGAAAGCTGGGGGACAACACAACCAAGGCACTCTATCAGGATTCTTCTTTACATGGTGATGCAGACTTCGAAGTTCATCTTCAATCCGGAAATGGTATGTACGAAAAGTGGCAAACCGGAAACGCTCGCATTTGGTCGAGAGCCAAGAATTACTACCTTTATGATTGGGGGGCCTGTACACCAGAGCAACTCTTACTCGGATATGATGAGCGTTTGGAGGCCATTGCTTACACTTACGCCGGTGGTGACGACAACTTTGGAGATGACGCTGTATATGGTGATGATGCTACCAATGGAAATGGAGACAATCAGAACAATGTAAACGAAGAAAATGAAGCGGAGAACAATGGAGAAAATCGACAATTAGAAGACCGGGATGGCATGTACAACTATGGAGACGACTGGAACTATGACGATCGAATCGAGCAGGAAGTTTCCGACATTAATCCATGCCACGTCAACTTGAATTTCTACAAGTTTTACCAGGAGAAGTACGAACAGAATGGTCCACCGAAATGGGATTATGTTCTGATGAATGACAATACCCGCAGTCCGTGCTGCACGGACCAGAGAGCTACTTCGATGGAAATGTTGAAAGAAGCCTATCTTCCGCTTTTCCTCGAAACTGGTGCCACTCCCATCTTCTTGGTGACCTACGGGTATTGGGCATCGGCTCGAGATATGTCTGGATTGATTGATATTCCAACTTTTACGAGTTATACCTATGCTGGATATCGGGCATATGTGGAGATGTTGTCCGAGTACCTACCGAAGTCACAGAAACCCAAAATAGCTCCTGTTGGATTGGCATTCCTTCTCATTTATGAGGAAAAGCCATCGGTAAGAGGGTTTCACGCGTAATTGGGACTTCCTTTTGCTTCGTTATCTCACCATTTCTATTTCGCTCTTTTTTCAGATGTGGGAGAAGCTCATTCACTTTGACGAAATTCATCCTTCTCCAAGAGGAACCTTCTTGGAGGGTTTGGTAGTATATCATTCAATTTATGGTCACTTGCCATCACCAAGGACCGTGTTGTCGGATCAAGGTGTATCTGTTCTTTGGAATGGAGCCCGGCGGATGGTTCCAGACGATCACGGATTGAAGGCCTTCCCCAATCGAGACGAAGCAGCTTACTTGTACCATGTTGCTCATCGGATATGTATTGATGGAGAAATGCCAAAGTCACTAACCTTTTTATCCACATCCGAGTCCATTGACTTCACACCTGACGACTCGCAATACGAAGATTTGTACATTTATGGGGAAATGAGACGAGACCGATAATAATGAGCAATAGCCAAAACGATCTCACTCAGAGCGCAATTTTGTTTGAAAAGACAGCTATCAAAAGTCGCTCCAACAATGATCTAGCTCCAAACAAAAAGCATTACTGGGTTAGTCTCATCAGAATCAATACTGTTCGTCGTCTCCTATAATATATCAGTTGCTATATTATGTAACCTAATCCTGCTCGAAATGTAGATTCATCATCGTATTTGCTGACAGTCTCATCAGAGTCAAGAGTTGAAATCAGGACGCCCCAGACCCCAACTGGTCAGCGTTCAACACACTCTACTCCTCCATATCGTCAGACACGGGGAATAAGATCTAATAATCCACGTCCATAAGCGAGGTCCGACCAATAGTCGTTTGACACGAGCGAGTCAAAGCTCGACTGCAAGACTGATGCACAATCATCCAGCTTGATAGTACCATCAGAATGAGGTCCCAAGCATATAGCCAACAGTCCATAAGGGCGACCATCACCATCCCAACTTTTCTCTACAGTTCACTTATTTCTTTTATTAATAAATACTATGTTGCAATAAATCATCTCGAACTTCATGGCACATTCTCTTTCTGCTGATTCATATAGGATA